GCATTAGCATATAAATCCTTCTCATTCTCAAATTATCATCCACATCCATCTTTTAATTATCTCATCAGTGGAAGGTAACCGTCCGCCGTGCAATGCACGTATTGCTACAAGGGCATGGGAATTCAAAACGCCTTCAAGTCGATGTTCATGCAACATGGCTATTCAGTAATCAGAATTACTTGCAACAAGGCGCTATCGTGCAGTCGTCGCGTCACATGTGTCGGCCGAAATATTCCTGGAATAGGAGAACACTAGAGATGTTTGGTTACTTCGTTACTACCTTAATATTTACAAAACACACATTATATTTTCCTTTCAAACATATTTTTTTTTCATCGATTAAAATGAAAATAGTCCATACAGAGTGTGCAAACATTTTAAAATCATGAGTTGAAAAACGCTGACTCCACCAGATTAAATATTAGAGCCTAATGCAAAGCGGAGCGGCGACGCACTGGCGCCTACAAACCTAACAGGGATACTCCACGCATTGCAATGCGTGAAGTATCCCTGTCAGGTTTGTAGGCGCCAGTGCGTCGCCGCTCCGCTTTGTATTAGGCTCTAATATTTAATCTGGCGGAGTCGGCGTTGTTCAACTCATGATTTTGAAATGTTTGCACATCCTGTATGGATTATTCTCATTTTAATTAATGAAAAAAAAATATGTATTAAAGGAAAATATAATGTGTGCTTCGTAAATATTAAGGTGGCTCCGACCGTATCAAATTTAACGATTTCCAAAGCACACGAATGTCTACACAATTTCTTATAGCCTTTCATAATCGATGGCGGAAAAGCAACAGCCAGGCGATAAAGTGTAAAGCCTGGCGATAGGAACTGTATACCTACAGTATACTGACTGTGTACTTTTTTATATCTTCGTATAGCCCGGCTATATGATTTGCTCCGCTTTCTACAGCCAGCTTTATGATTTTCAATAGCCTTCTTCAGTCGGCTATAAGAACTCCTACGGTATTTTGAAACGCAGCTCCTATCGCCAATTTTTTATCAAGGAATATCATTCATCATTTAGGTATGATCAACTGCATTGAGTAAGACTTCATCTCTGAATGTTACAGCTCTCTCACGGTACACATGTCTAACTTTTGTTAGCTGTAAATTGTTGCTGCATTTCAATTTTTTTGTTTAAAATAAATACGCTACTACTAACCCTTCATTACATACCGTTACATGGAAGCAAAAAATGTGTTTTCGACTCTAGTCTCCTGTAGCATTATTTTTTTTTTTTTGGGGGGGGGGGGGGGGGGGG